CAACATTATCTACAGGCTACTGTGTATTGTGCACTTAAAAATCTGTTCAAAGTACAGATCTCACAGTAAGTGTTCTTACCACAATAAAAAAAAAAAATTAAAGTACTCTCTTCTCACCTTTTTGATAAGAGAATGGTTTACAAACTGAAACTCACTCTCAAGCAAACATTTGTTAACATTTTACGCTCCGGCATAGATTACAAAATTCCTCATCAACAGAGAATAAAACTACCAAGTAAATCTACAATAAATCAAATATCAAAAATGAAATTTTCTGTCTTTAAAAATCTTCCTGATTCTGAGTTTTCAAGCAGCCTATTGTTGGCCTGACCTCAGTTTGGTTTCCATTTCTGACCTGTGCCGCTCATTGTGGATTCTTCCATATTTTATTTCACGTGGAACTTACTGTCAAGGCCTAAAATTCAATAATGATCGAAAAAGTCCATCTGAACAAAATACAGTTTGTTCAGGGATTCAGTTTAGACACCAGAGGGCAGGAGAATCCCTGGAAGTGAAGGAATGGATCCTTGTCGTTGGTGAGTTTCCAGGCTGGTTGACGTTGTAATGATGTCATGGCAAGGCCAGGACTTTCGGTTAGACTTTTTGTCACAGGAAGTACAGAACTCTGTCAAAACTAGAAAACAAAAGTGGCACATGGAGAGTCATACTGTTTATTTCCCTCGGTGATAATGTCCGCAGAAGGCTCAGTGGGAGCACAACTTAAGAAGCAACCTTGATGAGAACATGAGCGGGGAAATGTAAATGCAAAGGAGGTTTTTAAAATAATCTATTTTAAAAATTTTAAGTTCAGTGTAAAATGGCTTTCAGTGGAGATTCGGACATTTAGTAGAAAGCAAATTAAAGTAAGACGTGTGCCCCAGAATTACAAGAAAAGAAATGACAAGCACAAGAAGTTTTCAAAACTGTGTTATTATTTGTGCAGAGAACAGATCAACCCCTGGGGAAACAATGTGGGGTTCTGTTTGGTTATTCACTTTGATCTCATTGAAGGTAGAGTGGTGCGGAGGTTAAGAGCATTTGATTTGGAGTCAAGTAGAGTTAAATTTAATCCCCGTCTTACCACTTCAGAACAAGAAAGAACCCTACCTTTAACGAAAAGTGTAAAGCAAAAATAAACAACTTCTGATGGTAACTAGGATTGTCATTTTTATGTCTCTAAATTCTATAAAAAGGACATAATCTTCCTGATCAAAGAGAGTGCTGTTCTGCTGGAGTTTTTCTGGAGTCTCTTTCTGTCTCCATTAGCAATACTGGCCCGAGTTCGGGCTATGAATAAAAGTTTACAGATCTTTCTCGACTTACAATGGGGTTACGTCCCAGTAGACCCATTCTAAGTTGAAAATATCATAGGTCGAAGGTGCATTCACTACACCTAACCTGGTCAACATGATAGCTCTGCCTAGCCAAACTTAACCACGCTAGGAACACATACATTATTAGTCTATAGTTGGGCAAACTCCTGTAACACAAAGCCTGTTTTATAATAAACTGTTGAGTATCTCATGTAACTATTGAATACTGTACTAAAGTGAAAAATACAATGATTTTAAGTGCATGGATTGTTTACCCTTGTGATGGTGTGGCCGACTAAGAGCTACAGCTTGGTACCCTTCCCAGCTTCACCAGATTCTCGTACTACATATAACTAGCCCAGGAAAAGATCAAATTCAAAATTCTAGGTAAAGTTCCTACTGACTATGTATTGCTTTCTCACCATCATAAAGTCAAAAAATCAGAAGTCAAACCTTCAGCAATTGGGGACCATCTCTAGTAACAAGGCATAATTATCAAACTTTAGCTACAGATTTGAATGTGCTTACACATGTAAAAAAACATGGGAATTTCTTGAGAAATACTGATGTTTAGAAAAGATAAAGGAATAACTGTTAAATGACACTTTCTTATGCCTGATATTTTTCCTTTACTAAATTTTTAAAAAGAAAAAAAAAGGCTAAGTATCTCTGTGATAGTGTGAATCCAGCCTATTCCCTGGATAATTTCAAACTCTAAGAAAATATGTACAGTGTAAACACTGTATATTTTGAGTACGAAGGAGCAAAAACTGGTGTGTTTACTGTGATGGGACGCTTTTTTTCTCATTGACGAAAAACTCTCCTCAGTGACTCTTATGCCTGGCTCTTGGTGGGGAAAGGTCACCTATTCACATTTCAGAGAAGTGGCTGTGTTCTTATGAGGAGAGTACAGTGACATGTGATTTGTCTTTTTTTTTTAAGATTTTATTTATTTATGAGAGAAAGAGAGAGAGAGGCAGCAGGGAGGAACAAGGGACAAGCAGACTCCACACTGAGCGCAGAGCCCGACGCACCGCTCAATCTCACGGCCCTGAGATCGTGACCTGAGCCAAAACCGAGTCAGATGCTTAACCAACTGCGACACCCAGGCGCCCCAACACGTGATTAATCTTTAAGCCTCCTATGGCATTTCACAGCTCTTCAGGCAGGAGGAGGGAAGTGGTGACAACCCCCTCGGCGGCACCTCTAACCTACACTGTAATTGGAAAAAAATAGGTAATCTGGATGCACTGGCATGTGATCATTTCATGATTAATTTCAATTTTTTAGTATAAGAATCAGCTACTATATATATGTATGTAAATTGTTTTCGGTAGGGGCGCCTGTGCGGCTCAGTTGGTCAAGCCACTCTTGATTTTGGCTCAGATCATGATCTCAGGGTCGTGAGATCGAGCCCTGAATGGAGCCTGCTTATGATTCTCTCCCTCTCCTTCTGCCCCTCCCCCCTCAAAAAAAAATTTTCTGCAGTTAAAATGTAGATGGTTTCAGTCCCAAATTCTCCAGTAACATCTAGATGATGGAAAATATTTTTTTTAATGGCCTCAATGGTCATAGTATTTTTAAAAATAAACTCATGTAGAAGCAGCTCCAAATGTGATAGTCCATGATACTTAACCCCATAATCCTAGTATGGTGAAATTTCCCCAACTAGAGTTCCCTCTTAATTTTAACTATCCTCCTCAAAAAAGCCCCAAATATATATAATGGAAGTTGAAATTCTACATATATTCATTATATATATATGTACACTACAGTTCAGTATACACATATATAGAATATATATTCAGTAAAAGGTATTCTATCAAAGAGGAAAATAAACATAAATTAACATAAAATAATTTTAACATAGATAATAGTACAAAGACTAAAGGCTTGGATTTTGCTTGGACTCTGCTGCCAGAGTATCTGGATTTAAAATGCAGGTGCACCACTCACTAGCTTTGTGACCTTGGGCAATTTACTGCACCTCTCTGTGTCGGAGATTGCTCACCTGTAAAATGGCGTTAATAACAATAGCACTTGCTTCTTAGAATCATTATGAAGCTAAGATTTGTAAAACCTTTAGAAGATTACCTGCACACCCTAACCTACACCTTACGTTACTGTTAAATAAATAAATAAGACAAGTAAGTACAACTTTGTTATTCAAAGAAAATGAAAAAGTGAATCCTGTAAAGAAGATGCCATATATATATATATATATATACACACACACACACACACACACAATGGAATACTACTCAGCCATCAAAAAGAATGAAATCTTGCCATTCACAAGGACATGGATACAACTGGAGGGTATTTTGCTAAGCGAAATAGGTCAATCAGAGAAAGACAAATTTCTTCAAATGATTTCACTCATATGTGGAATTCAAGAAACAAAATGGATGAACAAAGGGGAAGGGAAGGAAAAATAAAATAAGATGAAAACAGAGAGGGAAGCAAGCCATAAGAGACTCTTAACTATAGGAAACAAACTGAGGGTTGCTAGAGGGGAGGTAGGTGGGAGGATGGGGTAACTGGGTGATGTGCATTAAGGGCACTTAAGGTAATGAGGAGAGGGTGTTGTATACAACTGATGAATCACAAAATTCTACCTCTGAAACTAATAATACAGTATATGTTAATAAAATATGTTAATAAAATTGAATTTAAATAAAAAAAATCTTTAAAAAGTGAATCCTGAAAGTCATATTATTGGCAATTGTTTTTCCACGGAAGTGTGATCACCTTATAATCAGTCCAGAAAACATACCTGAAACATATTTCTATTGAGGAGTTACGAAAGGGAAAATGGACATTGTTGTACAGTGTGTTTCCCAAATTTAATTAGGTTATGTAACAGGAAGATGAAAAGAGAATTCAGAAAGCCTGGCTACCAACTGTTTCCTGTTTAAGAACAAACATATGAAAAGAAAAAATTCAGTAAAATTGGATGGATTAAGTTAATAGTTTTTCTCAGACATTTGGATGATTACTTTAGACCTCCTGGTAGAAATATTCATATTGAAACTTAAGTGAAAAAAAAGGCATTTATCCCTTTTTATTAGGTCAATTAGCCCATCCTAAAATATTTAAATAACTTAAACTGTTTTAATCACATCAATGAAAACAAAACACAAAAACTTTCTATTTAAAATGCAAATTTTAAACTTTCTATTTAAAATGCAAATACAGATTTTACACAGCAGTGTTTTTTTTTAACAGCTGCAATATAATAAAGAAATAAATGAACCATTGTAACTGATGTAGTCATTGAAAAGTAGAAATGAGGACCTGAAGACTAGTTATATACAGAGCTGTACGTGGGAAATATATATTTATTTGGCATTTTCATTTAACTTGGAATATTTGTCATTCTAGATATCAAATCATCTTGATGTTTCTGTAGACTTACTGAAGATTGGCACGATATTTTCAGCATAGCCTGCTCCTTATTATATAATCCATTGTTTCCTGTAGTACTTAAAGCTCTTACTCAAAAGAAAAAAAAATGTCAAGTTCCAGGAAAGTATGAAAATGCTAATACATCACCGTGAATAAATAATAGGTATTTTAAAAACCACAGTATATGTTGCTGTGGTGAACAGCATGGTTTATTATAATTGAATTAGGAAGAGGATATGGGCTTCAGAAAAGAATTTGATTATGAAATTGGATACATACTGTGCCAGGTCGGGGATAAGGAATTCTTCCATCATACTGCACCCAGCGATGGTCTGCACTTTCCTTATGAGCATATGGACCATTGAAAACTGCTCTGATGTCAGCCATGCTGTATACACAAACAGCTGAGCCTTTGAAAATGGAGCTGTAAAAAAGCAACATGATCCAATCATTCCCCATACAGCAGTCACTGTACATTTATTTATTGAGCACATATTATAACCAGGTGTGTGGACAAACTTGGGCAGCACATTCCATCCGATAGGTGCTGCAGATGAAATGTGTGGATGTCCTTAAGGAGTTTATAACCAAGTAATCCTGAAAAAGGTGTGACAACAGTTACAGTACAGATAATCACAGTAACAAGCGAAGCAAGCACACAAATGGGTCCCCAGTACAGGGCTGTCTGGTAAGTTTTCAGAGAGCAGGTGGTGTCTACATTGACACCTGATGGATACATGGGAAACACCTAGAAAAACTGAAGGTCAGAAGGAAATATGCAGAAAAGAGTACCAAATTTATATACATGCTTTTGAATTTTATTTGAAGTTCTTACAGCATAATGCCTTCTAAAGAACTTATAAAAAAGTTACATTACCTATTTTTTTATAGAGGAACACTTTAGGTATATAAATAATAAATACCTCTTTTAGTTTTTTTTTTTAAGATTTTATTTATTTATTTGACAGAGAGAGATAGCAAGAGCAGGAACACAAGCAGGGGGAGTGGGAGAGGGAGAAGCAGGCTTCCCCGCGGAGCAGGGAGCCCGATGCGGGGCTCGATCCCAGGACCCTGGGATCACGACCTAAGCCGAAGGCAGACGCCTAACAACTGAGCCACCCAGGCACCCCTCATTTAGGTTTTCTTAAAGTGAGTGAATGTCCATAACCATTGACTCCTAATAATTTCCTCATTCAATTTTTATTAACTCGAAAAAAATGCTGAAATTCTTTTGTGCTTCTCCCCAAATTTTCGAATTTCTTCTTGAATTTATGTATGTAACCTATGTGATACTTAAAATTAATCTTAATTACACAGGACATAATCAAGAAGCAGAAAAGCTCCATGGGAATTTCACAAGTTTTTGCAAATTAGTGGTGAAAACTGTTAACACTATCATCAGATGTTTCATTTTTTTTAAATTTCTGGAAAATAAAAGACATTTTCTCTGCATCTAAAATTTTCAGTGATTTCTGTTCATAAAAACGAGATCACCCTTTATGATCTAAGAGACATATCATCTCAGTACTACACAAGTGAGCCAAGGATTCTCTAGTATGGGAAACTGAACCATTAATATTCTTGGAATGAGGGGAGCCTGGGTGGCACAGTCAGTTGGGTCTGCCTCAGGCTCAAGTCATGGTCCCGGAGTCCCAGAGTCCCAGGATCCAGCCCCGCATTGAGCTCCCTGCTCAGCGGGGAGTCTGCTTCTCACCCTGCTCTCCTGCTCTCTCTCACTTTCTCTCTTTCTCAAATACATAAAAAAAATCTTAAAAAAATATAATCTTGGAATGACATTAATGGAAGGCATCGGGAGCTGATGACAAACAGGCAGCTGGAAGAAAACTCTGCTAAGAAGGGAGGTGATGCTCCCATAAAGATCACATCCTCTGCCTAGGATATTTTAAAGGAATGATACATCACGCTTTACGGTGTTTCTATTGTTGCAGATTAATTACATCTTCTAATTGGACAAAGGATGTGACACTGCTTCCCAGTATTACCTCAGTCCTCAGGGTGGCATTAAAAATAGAATAATAAAGTACACCAAGAACAAAGAGTTGACTTGTAACTTCACACTCTGGGTGGGCAGAGTACTTGGTAGGAGAAAAAAACATAACTATTTTGGGGCTGTATTTCCCTGGCACATGTCTATGCCTTGTGTTGGAACACACAGTGACTTCAAAGACAGTTCTGTGAATGGAAAGATGCCAAGAGAACTAGCTCTGAGATACTTAACTTGAGTAACTACAGGCACTTGCTTTTCTTGCATCTTTTTAGTTAAGATATAAATTAGCCAAAAAAATGGGGTCCAAATAGCAGCATTCTTAGGGTATCTTCTTTATTTTCACTGTAAATATTCACATTCTCTATCTTACAATGAACCAAGGAGCATTTTGTTTTCTGATATCGTCCGAACCACACTATTGGTACAAGGTGTAAGGTGAACTGAATGAAGGTAATTCCACATAAAACAAATTATAATTTGCCTACAGACTACTTTAATAATTTATTCAAAAGGAGGCAGTAAGATCATTTCTCTAATACCAATACTGCCAATTCTTCCAATACTAATATCAATATAAACAACGGTGATAGCAGAGCTGTGGAAAAAGTAAAAAAGTAGTTCAAAGAAGGTGTTGCAGGGAGTAATATGTAACAGGAATAAAGCTGTCCCATGTTCAAATGTAAGTTTCTGAATTAAATGAAATTAATATTAGATAAAATTATGTAAGGTCCATATATTCTTTGAGAAAGCTTCATAGATGATAGGACAACTTTTAAGGAAGTCACGGAGTCTCGGTGACAAGTACAGGACAGTATTACACAGAATGGAGACAAAAACACAGGGGGGAAAATTAAGAAAACACCTTTGATTCTAGTCCCATTTTTACTACAACTTGGCCCATCTTCTTGGTGCAAGTCATACAAACCTCCTTTGCCTAAGTTAGCAGAGCAATAATGATATGCTGGTAACAGCCCAACTCCTATCTTTGTAGGGTAACGGAAGGGTATCTAAGATTGTACATGATGACACTTTAGAAGTCAAGAGTGTCCCATCTTATGACTGCAACCTAAGCAATGCCTAAGGCATGTATTTCTTTCATACTACTTCTTTGTCATGCAGCTTAACCTATTTATTATGGTGAGTATATGCACACACCTTTGCCTCCTGTGACTTTAGTCTGGGAATTTAACTCACAGAAGTACTTGCTTACTTGCTCACACAGAGAAACAGCCATATGTACAAGGTTAGTCGCTGAAGCGTTATGCGTACCACGGAAGACCTGGAAACAATGGAGATGTCTATGTATAGGAAACTGGCTAAATGAATTGTGGTAATTGATATAGGAGTACTCTGCTGGCATAAAAAGAACAAAGGACATTTTATGTCTTGATATTAAAAGAGTTCTAGGAAACACTATGTGAAAAAATAAAATGAAAAACGGGTATTTTTTTTTTCACACAAAAGGAAGGGACCAAAAACATTTATTTCTTCTATAGGAGAATTACAAGCATTGTTTTTGTTTTGTTTTGTTTTGTTTTTTAACTTACCTGGTTGTGGTAAAGACTCCATAGACTACAGGATTTCTTTCATCTCTTGTGGGGAGTAAGTAAATATCCTCTATTAATGGGGAAAAAAATAACAATTCAATATATTTTTATATTTCAGTATTACATATTTGCCTTTTCTTTAAGAAATACAGTATTTCTGAGACTCTAATAGTATATAACATTAACAATGAAAGTCGTTACATTATGACGTAAGAAATTAAGGGTAAAAGACTGGTTTTCTCACTAGTCATGTGACACTGAACTGGATATCTAACCTTTTAGGTGTCTACTTCAATCTGTAAATAGGATGATTCGCTTCATAATCTCCATGACTATTCCCAGTCAGAGGTATGTGATTCCTTACAGAATAGAAATTAAAAACACAGGGTGTTTTTTACCTCCCAATGTAAAAAACGTCTTGTCCTGTAATTGTGTCAACTTACTAATAATTCAATTATCTATTTGCTAACAATATAAAAATAGCTACACAATTAATTACTTGTGCAGTATTACTTGTGTAACTTGCTCAGTATTTTGTAACTACTTAAGCAGTATTGATACCAAAGTATGTGTAAATAATATTCATTAAAAGATTATTTAAGATGTGAGCATGCTTATATACAAAATGAGGAATCACCCATGAATACTGAATATATACTTTAAATACTGTATGGCAAAATCGTTCAATGATAAAATCATTTTTACACTGTAAGGCAAAAAAAAATTCAAAAATAAGATTTGATGATGCTAACTTTATATTTAACTGAAAAAATTCCTTCTAGAATTAGCTTTGAGGGGGTAAAGAGGGGAAATGAAAGAGAATAATCCATCTAACACTTTTCTGAGTATTCTTTTTCTTAACAAGTCGGAGGGAGCGAGTTCACCCAATCTCTCGTGCTCTCCAGCAGAGGGCAGTCTCAGAATAAAGAACCCAAGTACTTGCTACTTCTAGACTGTTAACACTTGTTTAGAGTTAATTTCTAATTTGCATACTTTGTTTAGAATTTGGGAGACATTTTTTGAAAGATAATTGTCAAATTATTGGAAATTTATTATAATGGATAAGACACTGTCATATAAAATTCATATTCACTTTTTACATCAGTTAGACACATTGTTGCACATGATTTGGCTTACGTTAATTTTGTTTCAATAATTAAAACAATGGTAAAACTTAAAAAAAGTAAAAGGCCACATGGAGAGTGGATGGGTTCTTGCTAGTAGCTTTTTGTCTCTTGCTGCAGGTTTGTTTCCTCATAACTATGAGGATGCTTACAAAGAGAGGAATTGCTTCGTTACAATATGCTCTGAAACCTAGAGCACCTCCATGTTCTTTGTGTGTGTGAATTTAGTAATAATACTACTGCAAGCTGTCCTTGGTTATATTGGGGGCTAAAATAAAACAAATGCTGAATGTATTAGGCAGTAAGTAATTTTTAAGAAAAAAAGGAGCATGTGACTTACGAAGCTCATCAAAATGAGTATCTGCCCCATCATTTCCGGGAATGGAGCAAATCAATCTGGCTTTAAGAAAAGTCGTCCATTTGTTTATCAGGCTGCGTTGTCCTCCTACATCATTCTGGAAAAAAAAAAAAAGGAAAATAACAAAGATACAGATTTAACGTAATTGTTTACAAAGACAGGAAACCTACATGTTTAAGGCCTTGAACTTTCAAATAAGGGAAAAGGCAGTTTGGTCCCTTAAGATTACATGCTTTTCTAATGGTTGAATGAATGCAATGTCTACAACATGGCTCTACTGAATGAGTAGATGCAGGCAGGGCTATCCAGTAAATGAGTGAGGCCTGGAATCAAATCTCACCTCTGCCACTTTTTGCTCCATGGCCTACAAAAGGCTATTTAACTCTCCAAGTCCCTGTTTCCTCGTTGAAAAAAATATGATTAATGCCTTGAAATTGATTATTTTGCTAATTAAATGGAAAAATTTGTGTACAGTGCTTAGCACGGGGCAGATAACTTACGTTCAATAAATACTAGCACTGTCTTGTATATTATACACATGATGAAGATCGTGATTTACAGCCTTTAGAAATAAGCTATAGACTTAAAAAAAACAGTCTTTTTCCGAAATCAGTGCCCTACTAATTAGGCAATAAGGCAACATAAACATAGATATAAAACCAATCTTGTTTTAAATGCTAATTGATGTTTTTCCATACTTTATTTGACTCTGAAATATTTCACTAAAATGTTCTTTAGACACTTACCAAACACAGGCATTTAAATCAATTCAGTAAAATAAATTCAAAAACTCACCATAAAAAGATCTGTTTCTTATTTTTAATTTAATATGTCCCTGTGAACACTAAATTCATACAATTTGTTATCTGACTGGACTAGATCAGCTATGTTTTAATAAGTAAGATGAGATTGTTTCATGGCATAAATACTGTAAGTACTTAAACCAAAGTTTCAAAAATGACTTTTGGAGTCACTATTTCCATTAATGTGCTTACATCTAAATGTAAATTATATGAAAATGCTTATCCTTCGTGCAATCTATGTTTTATAAAATTAATAAAGAGTTCACTATCAAATACTAACTCTGAATATTTAGGAACTGTATTCCCTGTGCTTCTTTTATCTCTGAAAATTAAATGAAATTAGAGAAAAGTATCTAAATGACTCCTCCAAAGAGGAGAATTCAAAGTCGGAGAAATAGCTGCTATTCTTCAAGAAAGGGGGGAGAAAGAAAGGGAAGGGGATGCAAGACAGAGATCCCTTTGAGTATTATCTTGGGTGATATGGAAACCCAAATTCCAGATGATATAATCTTAGTAAACAGAGCAAAATCTCAGAAGGCTATAGATTTGTAGGAGAGCTCAGAAGGCAATGAGGTCCTTGAGACCAGGGACTGGAGCCATCTTATAGCCTTAGCACCTAGCACCAGGGGAGCACCAGGGCACCCAGAGTGATGAATCCCATTTTATTTTGCTTTGCTTAAAGATTTATTTATTTATTTGAGAGACAGAGAGAGAGAGCATTGAGAGGAGGGACAGAGGGAGAGGGAGAGAGAGAGTCTCAAGCAGACTCCCCACTGAGCACGGACCCAGATGCAGGGTTCGATGCCACGACACTGAGATCATGACCTGAGTCAAATTCAAGAGTCGGACGCTTAACCAACTGAGCCACGCAGGCGCCAGTGAATCCCATTTTATATCCCCCTCTGCTAAACACCACAATACTTTTCAGTAATAGCTCTGTATGTATAAGTAATCATTTTTATTTTCTTGATTTGTTCTTTAGGTTTATAACAATGTAAAAAGAAAAATGTTGAAATTTAAAGACATTTAAATTCAATAAAATATTTCATATATGATTCACTTGAACAAAATATCGCACCTCACAGTTTGCACTACGTCTCGCTGTTTTAAATTTTAAATGATCCAAATCAGTGTGCACTTAGTCTTGGAACACATGTGTAACTGAGTTCATGTGTGCTGGCAGATACAGAATATAAACTTCATAAGTACAGCAATTGTTTGGAAACTGGACCAACAGAAGACCTTTCTGGCAATAGTATTTTGACACTGATACTGTTTAGAATTGCTGACACATGGTGATAATACAAAGCAAAAAAACATTTAGTTGATTTTCTCATAATTTTTCATTCTTCCCAGAAAATGCACTCCCTATTCCTTTCATCCAACACCTACTGTATGTATGTCACTAATGCCCTGCTTATCAGGTGTTTAATAAGTAAATGTTTGATTATTAGTAGCTAAAAATACAAGATAAAATTGATAAATGTTCTTTGAAAGTATACCTCAATGCCGAAGAATTTAAGTCTCCTCTGAAATGTCCTTGTAGTGGAAAAAATGAGGACAGGCATTGCTGTAGAGTTAGATTCAATACTGTTCTTAAAATGAGAGGTGATTCAGACATGCAGAGATTGGAATACTCAGGAAATATCCTAGGTGCTAGAAATTAGAGGGAAAGGGCAATAGGTGGAACACTTCAGAACACGTATGGAGAACCAGGACAAATTTGGTTTAGATGAAGACTGGGATAAATGAAAATAGTGGAGGAAAATGTTATAAATTTGAGTACAATCCAGGAAGGCTTTAATACCAGACCAAAGCACTTATATGTCATTTAGTAATATGTTATTTAGTACAAAGAATCACTACAAAAACGTGAAAGAAAATGAATACATGATATCTTTCATATACTAACTCTCTAGAAACAAACGTGTTTATACTTGCTACAGAGTTTATGTTTTGTATGTGGTGCTTCTATAGTTGCAGTATCATTGCTCAATAATAAAAATAATATTTCAGCTAGCTATTGGATGATTAATGATGGCTGCAGCTGTGAAGACAGATTTATCTAGACATGACCTTTATTTTTACCGCTAACATCCTCAGACCATTCAATAAATATAAATCCAGATGTTAATATGAATAGGCAAAAACACGGATACTTCCTTCTATTAATGACGAATTCCGTGCTAATGTTTAGTAGGATTCCAGTGAGAAAATATGTTATCTGGAATCACTCAGAAAGAAAGGGATTTTTAAATAAATTAAAAAAATAAAAATTAAGATATCTTCTCATCTTTCTCATGAACCCTGATTTATATCTTTTTAAATTCACATATGTGTTCTTTTATATTTTTATGATAGCAGAGCCTACTTGTACGAAGCCAAGCTCTAGTTAAAACCTTTCAATCTTAATGCACTCTTACATATTTATAATATTTAAAATTTTTCATTGCCCATATTCACATATTTTGAGTCAGCAATGAATACTAAAAATATTGTTAATTCAACATACGTGAGGAAATACATCAGCTATTGTGAACTTAATGCCAGGTACTATGTTTGGTTTACTGCTTTACTCCTAGCAGTGTAGGCGCTTAAATTATTTTGTGAATTGAATAAACAGATATATCAAATATTTGCTCCACGACATTCCTTTAACAGGTGTATACAACACTACTTCATAAAAATTAGCAATCACATTCCCTTTTAAACATTTTATGAGAAAAAATAACAATAAATGTCCCTTTTCAAACAGCATCCCCCTTTCTATTTGTGATCATCATCCATATTCAAGACAAACCATGAAACAATTCTAACTATTCTACTAGGTTCAAATTTGTTGGACAGGAAAGGGACTTATATTGTAGCCTGCATAATATATATATTTTAACCTGACAAATGGAAATTACAATCTTTTGAACAAAAGAATCCTTAAACGTTCTTGCGAATCCATCGAGCAGCCTTTCCTGGACCCTCAAGGAATAAAAAGATAAACAAGCAAAAAAACCCAAAATCCAGGTCAAAGATGAAAGCCATCTACTGTCAGCAGGGAAACAAGTATAATTTCTGGGATAATGGTTCTCAGGGTTAGATTATAAGCATTTAATGACTGGATAGTAACTCTTACAGACATCCAGAAGCATGACCTGGCATGGCAAAGTTCAATTCACAAGAAGTTGTATTTCTCCTGTAGGTAAGTGTCAGTTGACTGACTGTTGACCGGCTCTCAGTCCCTGGATTTGTTTGCAAATCCACAAAATCTCCCCTGAGAACTTTAAGCCCAGAGGAGGGCTGAAAGGGAGATAACCACACTTGTACTAAATTGTCACCTCCTTGCTTATTTTTGTGAAGTTCTAAAGAACACAACTATCTCACTAACACAACAGATTTATTATTGAGATGTCACAATCAGCAGCTTTTAGTCACCAGTCACTTCTATGCCTCCACTCTATCACAGCTTCTTTGTGGTCAGATTGCCAAAAGCCTTGACATTCTCTACACAAAGAAGCAGATGAAAGTAACAAAGAAATTAAATGTAAACAAGCCAGTCTGCGTGGGTTCCATCTGGGTGGTGAACGCACAGGGTGACCGTTTCCTTATTCTCTGTAGCTTTGTATATGTTTGTGATAGTTCTTAATTTTAAAAACAGAAAAGACAAAAGATGAAACAAAGCACAATTTAGAATCTTTCAGCAGCTTTAAAATAAGCTCTCTCTGAGTCAGGTGGTTGAGTGATGGCTGCATATTATGAAATACTGTGATTTCCACTCATAGTCTTCTAATGGGTAGATCAGTCGGAAGGCAGGTTAATGGGGATTCCATTTTGCTTCTACTGTCCCGGCAGATTCAAGTCCTTATAAATCTTACATAGACATGTAGAGTAGCTACAAACTGTCACACATGAACTTTTATTGAGTATGTCTTTTGACCTTTGGGTCACTATGCTGGACTCATCTGCTAAACACAATTTTGTCTGTACACATCGTCCTCTTCGAGGATCTCTTAGCACTTTATAAATACGGTCCTTTTCACTTCTATCTTGGGAAAGAGAAACTCTTGGAAAATATAAGAATTGACTTTCAGCTCCTACGCTCTTAATGCCTGAAGACTTTATAAATCAATAAATCACCAAGACATCTTTGAACATGTTGTATTCCACTGAAATATGGATTTAAGTTGAAAGACACCAGGCTTTTTGAATCAACAGGCACTGAAGAATGACGCATCTTAAGCACTTAGAAAAAAGAAAAAGAAAAAAAAAAGGTTTGACGCAGGAGTCAGATTGGTTCATAAAT